AATTATCATCATAGAAGATCTGAACATTAAGGAAGATTGCCTAGTAAACAGCACTTTGTCTTGGAAACTTAATATTTTGGCCATATCAAGAGCCACGGCGGACAAGAAAGAGGAGCAGGGGCCAACCAGCACAAGGACTGACAAAGGATATAAGTTACACCTTTGGTAGGAAAGTGTTCATCGGCAACCGGGTCGCTCATTGGCTGGCCAGTAGATGACTTTGTTGTCAATTGGGACAGTATTTGGGTCTCTCACTCTTGATCACATTAACACTGCAAGAGTCCTTTACAGGGCTAGCTGGTGGCGAGCAATGCTGAGCTATTTTATATGGTGCACATAAACCTAAATACAATTAAACCAAAAGCTCCATCCTTAGGGGGGGGGGGGGGGGGGGAATGATGGTTATGGCGATTTTTTTCCCTGCAAGTCAAGGAAAACGTGCACAAGATGGGAGATATGGTGAGAGACTGAGCTTATTTCATACCAGCTGTGATTAGAGCGATGTTCTGTACACATCCTAACATGAGAATGGTAGTAAGAGAGTTATACTGTGGAAGAGATTGCCACCTAACCACTTAATATTCCCAAAGACACCAGTAAGTGCACTGAGGCCAACCTTTAAAAGAAAAACAGACTTCTGTAAGGGTTCTAATCACTCTTGGCTGAGACTGCAAGGAATGACCTGCACGCACCGCAGAATCGGAAATTCAACAGCTGACTGATTCCTGATATCTCCAGCCCAGGTGATGTGATTATCTATACATATGGCTCTGTGTTGAGAGGCAGAAGAAGTGTATGGGGTTTATTGAGAAAGCTAATAGAAGATGCTTAGTGTCACAAAGTCTGGCTTATGATTCAGCACAAGCTAGTTTGAGAATGGAGGTGGAGGCAGTCACAGCAGCTTTCTGTTGATTTGAGAACCAGCTGAATACAAATATCATGATTATAACTGACTTACAGAGCATGTTGAGACAAGCATGCTCCACGCAGTGTGGCAAGCATCGCTTCAGAGATCCCAGAGAGTCAGCATTCTTTGGATGTTTTATCTGGGCCATGCCAGGTGTGTTGGGGAATGAACAGGGAGACAGACTGGCTAGTTCCAGACCAATAGGTGGTAGATTTCATGCATGACAAGCAAGATGTGATCAAGGTCCTTTGCAAGAAAGTGAAAAACACAGAGGCATGATTAAATCATAATAGTATGGAGAGACTGATACAGCTAGAAGTGACTAGAGGGTCTGGTCAACACTCTACACTCATAGGGAAGGAAAGTTGGACATATAATTATTCAAACAGCTACTGGTATCATCGGAATTGGAACTCTTCACTGGATGCTGAAGATTTGGATAGAGCACTTATGGGAATGTCTCGAGTGCTAATATGTCAGTTCTTAGTTCAACACTGGTCAACTTTCATTGTAATTTTTGTAATGTCTATGAGATGTTCTTTCATGCATCCTATCTAATCCTTTATCACCCGGCTCTCTAGCTTAGTTGGTTAAACCTGACATCACGGTGACCGGGTGACGAACTCCTTGTGGTCCGGGTTTACCCCCAGGGGTAGGCAGAAAACCAACATTCCTCCCAGATTTAAGGTACCTATCATGGAATCAAGGCCGAAGGGTTGCGATATCCATAGTACCGAGCCAAAGGGTTTACAACTCATGGTTTCTGGATATTTAAAAAAAAAAAATCTAATCCTCTAATAAACTCATATTTAGCTGCCATGTACCACACACACACTAAATATATATAATGAAGAAAGCCAAAGACTGGAAATACTTCTTCTGTATTAGCCCTTAAAAGGGCCGTTAGCACGCCGTGTTGTGGTTTACGGTATGGCTGTGATAACTGCGCTTTTAGGCCCTATACATTCATTTCAGCTAACTCCAAATCAGAGCCCTTTAGGACAAGCTTGTTGGGGTGGAGGGGGGGGGGGGGGGGGGGTTAATGAGGCCCTGGAACCTACAAGGTGAGGAAATAATAAAAGTCATTATACTGTTAATGGTGATTAATGAAATATTTATTTACAATTCAAATGTTGATATCAGAAATAATAGAAAACTGATGGAATATTGATGGACAATTTAAAAAAAAATTAGAGACAAGCAAAATATGAATAATCAACAGTTATCAATTTAGCTCATGGGAGACAATCCACTTTATTCCACCCCCTACCCCTGCCATGAAGCATACGCGCTCAGTCAACTCATACCATGTTTTCATATTCTTGCCACCTCATACAGCTCACTCTATATGCTTTCTACCCTTTTCACCTGATCTGATAGCCGTTACTTAGTGCAACAAAGCCTGGGCAGATGGTACAACATCCAGTTTGAGAGGACTGAGGTGGAGACATTCACCACAGCCTTCTGTTGACTTGAGAGCCAGCATGTTGTGTAACTGAGGTGGAGACATTCACCACAGCCTTCTGTTGACTTGAGAGCCAGCATGTTGTGTAACTGAGGTAGAGACAAGTCACCACAGCCTTCTGTTGACTTGAGAGCCAGCATGTTGTGTAACTGATGTGGAGACATTCACCACAGCATTCTGTTGACTTGAGAGCCAGCATGTTGTGTAACTGAGGTAGAGACAAGTCACCACAGCCTTCTGTTGACTTGAGAGCCAGCATGTTGTGTAACTGATGTGGAGACAGTCACCACAGCCTTCTGTTGACTTGAGAGCCAGCATGTTGTGTAACTGAGGTGGAGACAGTCACCACAGCCTTCTGTTGACTTGAGAGCCAGCATGTTGTGTAACTGAGGTGGAGACATTCACCACAGCCTTCTGTTGACTTGAGAGCCAGCATGTTGTGTAACTGAGGTGGAGACAGTCACCACAGCCTTCTGTTGACTTGAGAGCCAGCATGTTGTGTAACTGAGGTGGAGACAGTCACCACAGCCTTCTGTTGACTTGAGAGCCAGCATGTTGTGTAACTGAGTCAAAAAGCTTGTTGAGGAAAGTCAAGACAGGTGTGCTCTAAGCAGACTGGCAAACATCGCTTCTGAAATCCTGGGTAGTTAGCGTCTTTTTGATATTTTCTCCAGGTATGCAGGTGTGTAAACTACTGGCTGTAAATTTGCCAGGGGCTGTTGGGGTTGGTTCTGCAATGTGCTATAAAGGATACGCAACTAACCTAACCTAATGCAGGTGTGTAAGGAAATGAACAGGCAGATAGAGTGGCTGGTTCTGCACCCCTTTGTGGTGAATTAATGCATGACAAGCTGAAAGTTGTAAGAGCCCTTTGTGAGCGTGTGCACAGCGCAGAGGCACAATCAGATTTCATCACGGTCTGGTGCAGTGAGCGGTGACCAGGGAACCTGGCTGATGTTCAACACTCAGAGGAAAGGTGAGACGGAACATACAATAAGTCTATTACTGGTACTATCGGAGTTAGAACGTTGATCTTGCTGCTGAAGATGGGGATGAAGCGCTTATGGGAACATCTTGAGTGTTGTGATGTGATGCAAAACACTCCAGTTATGCTATTATCACACTGCCTCAACAAATATCCGATCTAAGGCCACATTTAAGCATAAGCAGCTGCACAGGGCTGCAAAATTTTGAGGGTGAAAAAATATTGTAGCAAAAAGATGTTAATTCTTCATTGTTTTTATTATTCTGAAACTTGCATTAGAATGACATTCTGGCGTTAAAATAGAATGGTACTATTAGTACACTGGTGTTTATTTTGTGCTCTTTAGTTTTAGTGTTGTTTATTTTGAGGAAGGAATGTAAACTGACATTGGATACCATGGGCAGAAAAGCAGCAGACCGGCAGCAATGAAAATCACTTGTGAATGCCTTATGTGTCAACAGCGACATGAAGAGGATATAGATATAGATTAGTACACTCCCTCACCTAGAGATGATATTACCAACATAACAAATGAACTGTGTAGGAAATTCTCCATGTGGCTGACCGAAAGACAGCAAATGGATTCCAAAAACCGGATTATACATTTTTAAGATTCACATTAGTTTTGTGAGTAGTGTATGCAAATAAGAGACAAAATAAAAAGAGTAATGAGGATATCTTGAGAGAAACTAACTCATGAAGAGAACTGATTGCCCACATCAGAAAGAGACAATCTACATTCTTTGGTCATCTGATAAGAAGCAGAAGACTGGAGTGAATCGTGACAGTAGGAAATTTGAGAGAGGCAGAGGGAGACCGAGAGAAAAGATGCTGGACAGTGTGACGCCATGGCATGAAGGATCATCTGTGTCAGAGTTGACTGAAAGTCCACTAAAAAAATAATTCCACAACTTACTGCTAGTGGTCTGTAAATGAACAGAGATGCTGAGATTTAGCTGAACGGAGAGTGGGCGTAAAATAAATGACTGCACAGGGGCATCATATATAATAAACAATGCTAGCATCTTTTCCTGACTCCATGATTCTCTAGAGTTTGTTTAGTTGTCAACCAAGTCAAGATCAAACAAGAAAAAGAACAAATGTAATTCATCAATACAATATCATTTGCTTGTCTCCAGGCACTTAGCTGACAGGGACTGTGCTTTCTGTATTATTTACCGCACATTGAACAGGCATTTACTGAAACTGGTAGAAGATGTAATCAGGTTAATTTAGTTCCAACTTCAAAGCAAACGGGTCACCCCAAAGTTGCTCTGTCATTATGCCAAAGAAAACAACAGTGAATGTCCAGCACTGTCCCTTGTGGAGAAAAAAATAATAATTAATACTGTAGTCTTAGCATGTCCAACTGCTTACACACACATTGAATGGATATGGAAGCAGTCAGAGGTGCCAACGCAAACAGTTTGATAAACAGTTCTTCACTGACAGAAGTAGCAGTGACAACAGATCAGTAGCTGCACATGCAATAAATTGCATATGCACCACAAGTTTTTTGGTGACAAGCCACTCAACATTTTCTGAATTTGCCAAAGGCGGAAGCTGTGACAACTATGATGCACAAAATCAGCAACAAAATTTGCAGATCAAGAAATTAACAGTTAGTTTATGCACAAATCAGATCATCTGATTGTGTAAACCAAATTTTTCAAGACTGAATTGCTTGTGTTTGGGTAAGGAACATCTCCGTAGTTCACAGGTGAGCGAATTTTGATTCTCCTGATGTGTGTGTCTCGCCCGTTCTGATGGTTGCTCAGTACGGCAATCTGAATCATGAAGGTGCGAATTGGTTTGTCATGGGCATCTTTCAAGGGAATGCAAACCCAGCCTGTAGGCTCTGAGAGTTCTATCTGTTCCACCTCTGTCAAATCATTTGCATGGTTTCCGGCTTTGATAGACAGCCTGTGGAAGATAAACAGAATTATTTCTCCACATCTATGTTACTTGCAGGCAGGCATGGTAGAGTGTGCTACTCTCTGTGGTAACACAGCTCTCTTGCCTGATGAGGTAATGAGTTTGAATCTGTATTTAGGCACATTTTTAACCAATTCACCCAAGGAATCCTTAAAAATAAAATAGGATATGGCCCTATTAGAATTCCAGAAAAGGATGGTTCAAAATTGTGTGTTGTGTTTTTTTTAAAAATACAAGTCACTAATAAATTCGTTACAAATGTATTTATCTATATTTTTAATTCTTCCTAAATGTATAAAGATATTAAAAACAGTCATCAATAAACATGAATAGGGAGAAGCATTAAATGGAATACATCCCCCATGACCTTATAAAAATGTGTGTATCAGCTGACTCATGCCCCGTGACCTCCATCACTGAGGCTTACAAAGAAACTATGACGTCAACTTAGCTTGAAAAACCAATTTAGCTCCAAAAAAAAACCAAGAAGACAATGGAGAGATAATGTCCAGACACAACTACAAGCACTTGGTGTCACCAACTGGAAAGAGAAGGCCAACCAGATAGATGAGTGGAGGCGGGTGATATCTGCAGCAATGAACCTCATGGGCTTGAAATGCTAAAGAAGAAGAACAAAAAGAAGAAGAAGCCTTACAGTGAATCTCTGGGCCCATAAATGATGCAAATAGTGGAAAATGGAGAGTGATAAGCAACAAAGAAATTCATAATGACTTAAATCACCACTAATTGCTGACCTCAGGAGGGCTTACAGACTGCAATATTTAGGGTATATAGATATAAATAAAAGAACTGAACAGAAGTAGACTTTGAGGAAGAACAAGAAGTTTGTTGAGGGATAATATACATGCAGAGCTATAAACTCTTGAAGTCACCGTCTAGAAACAGAAGATGAATTACGAAATGCATTTGCAACCCTTAAGCCACAAACATTGACTTACGCCAGTACCATTCAATTAACACAAAACAATTTAGAACTCGCTCATGCAATATCTATGATCTATGCAGCAAGGAACCTCAAAGGCTCCGAATGTTGAATAAGAAGAAGTAACACAAAATATCACCTGTTTGGAGTGTAGCTTTCATCTGCCTTGTAATCTGCATACAAGCAAACATCATGAATGGTGGTTTTTCTCCTGAACTGTATGCTCACAGTGTGAGGCTGTGGCCCATCAGACTGCCAGTAGGTGTCATTGGAGTCATCCCGGAGCTGGTCCACGCCAAAACCTGACAGAAAGTTATGTAAACCTATTTTAATCTATACTATAAACTGTTAATGCCTGTATCTGTCTGACTGGCATATTTTTTATTCTGTATCTTACAAACTCCTTCCAAATGGTGCCCAGTGGGGGAATTAAATTTGCAGAGGTTATTATGGCTGCAATGTCTGGTCAATTGTGCTATATGCAACAAGGTTTCTGCATATTTCTGATAATTAATGCCACATTCACTAAAAGTTAAAATTTGGTTGCAGCCTCCTAGATCAGTTCTTCCCCTAATGAGCCTCAAAGCCTTTCCCAGTGGGAGCCCACCCCATTCCCCCCCCCCCCCCACAGTGGGAGCCCTCCCACCTCATTTGTCTAATTGTTTTTGGTGGTCTATTATGTGTATGTAAAGAAGCTTCTCTGGAATAATATAAATTCTTGCTCTTGCTTTCAGTTTCCCAATTCACCCAGTTTAGTATTTTCTTTTACACTTTAAAGTTAAGTTATCTGGGTAAAGATTCGACATCACAGCATTCAAGGCAAACCCATATATTTATATATATCTTCGTCTTCCTCGGTAACAACAACCACCGAGGCGAGGTTTGTCCTTAACTCTTTCAGTCCCAAGGAACGCATCATACGTTCATAGGTTCCTACCTAGAAGCCCAATGAACGCATGATGCGCCAATTTTATTACTTTCTTCACTACCCCCTGGGCCTGTGATGCTATACCCCCTGGGACTCAAAGAGTTAATGATAGTTGAACTCCAGGTTTCCGCTGTCATCTGGTTGACTACTTACTTGTCTTGCTTTTCCCTCAGTTTAGTTTAAGTCAGTTAAAATTTAACTTAAATAGAAATAGTAATTACAAATAGTTACTGTTAGTAATCACATTGATCCTGATACATTCATTCAATACATACCTGGTTTGCAAGACGACAAAGACCAAACAGCTTGATCTCCGACTTCTCTGAGCTTTCCATCCCTTTCATCTTTAAATATATCAACAGTCTGTGCATCACTGAATTTTGTCAGCATCCTAATTTACTGAGAGAGAAACGAAACCTACAGAAAAAAATGTCTTTACTACTCTTTACTAAATATACAAAAGATAACTTCGTCTGTTGACTGCAACCAATACAAAAGTATATACCCAATTCTACAAAACAAACTGTTTCGTGTGTCTGCTTTTAAATATTTACTAAGTATGTATCGTAATTTTGAAAATTTTAACAATATCACTTTAATTTACTTCCATTTTTTATAATTTCAATATTTAGCATTTGAATATTTTTACCTTATTATCAGATAGATAACGGGTAATGAACCTTGGGCCTCACGGTAAAATAAAAATGTGTACTCGGTGATAACGAAGATAACGCGGAAGTAATACAAGCAGACAATCACACGAACAGGCAGGGAGTATCATTTCATACAGACAGGAGAGTACACGACAAATAGTCTAGCCTGGGATTTCTGTATTACGTAAGCATTGTTAGCAGTTATGCTGATTAAAAACTGTTTGGTTTTCTGTGTCTGTCACACACACACACACAAATATGCCATCGAAGTGTTAGTTTATTCATTCAATGATTCTCATGTAGATTAGTTTAGCAACCACTTCATTTTTGGCTGACTTTCATTTTCATTCATACTCTTTTTACTGAAGTAAAAACTTCCATTGTTGTGAATGTGAGTGAGTTTACACGACGTTAGCAGACTTTGGTGAGTTATGACGTCCGCATAAGAGTGTCAGTGAATACAGCAGTAATGTGTTTGATCAAAGTCAAAGTCAGTGCCACTGCACAATTAATTCGTTTCTTCACAGTCCACTATGCTGTGCTGTTTCCAGTCTTCTAAAAAAAATTATTTAATACAGAATGAGAAGTCAGAAGTATACACATTTTTGTAAATGTCTCTTATGCTATAGAAGTGTGTCATGTCACGAACAAGTCAACATGACATCACATTGAAAACCTATATTTCTTTGGGACACAAAAAGTGGTAACGAAAGTTAAATTCATAATTCTTTGTTACATTCGGTTTTGTATGCTCAGGATAGATCGTCAGGTGGGCTGCCTCTATGAACTCGCATGTCAGCTGCTGGTCCTTCGTGGTTCCCACTTCCCCAGAGCTTGCTGTACACCCACACTTTGCCAGGTTGTTTTTTTTTTTTAAGTTGTAGGTAGCATGTTTTGATCATCATTATTTTTGTTACAAGACAATATCATTTGACAGCTAGTAGAATGTATTCAATGTCTTTTCTGTTAAAGGTGTATAAGCTGTTAATTATTGAGCTAACATGCAGGACATGAGAATATAGTTATGTTTTATTCATGTGTGATAGAAATGCAACATTGAATGAGTAGAAGTCATTGTGTGAGTTCCAGTGCTAAGTTTTGAGGAGAAGAAGAAGAAGGAAGAATAAGTCCATTTCTTCCCATCCTAAGCCCAACAAACATGACAAAAAAGGTAACTAGTTAGCGGTATTCCGAAATCATACGTGTTGGGCAAAATGGTGCAAATATTACAGTCTAACTGTAATCCATAACATACTAACAAAGAAAAACTATTTAAACTGTCTTATTTTGTATGTTGATTCAGACCTTTTAGTTTATGCCCTAGTGCCAAGTTGTGTTGTACTGACTCATGTGGGCCTGTGTCATTGTAAAGTATTATCAATCTATCTGCTTCTCACTCTGAAGTTTCAGTATTTTCTGTTTGATGGACCAGTGAAATCTTTGAAAATAAAGTTTGGGTACAACTCACGAAAGTCACCCCATCTCATCAGCTGCGAGATTTAATAGGGGATTTCCCAAGACACTTCTATAGTCCAGGGGTGTCATGTGTTTCTCGTTTTGAATGTTCTAAGCACATCCACCTTCAGTGACAGTCACCGCCAACAAACGTACAAATACAAAAAACATCAATGATTCGATACTCACGAACCGTCACATCTTCGGTGCTTTCCTCTGGAGTACTTCTTCCTTTGCACACAGGTGACTTCGGTGCCTGAGACCAACTCACAACAATAACACATGCTAAAAACAACAGTCATTCACAGAAAAGAATTTCAAAAAGAAAGCTGTACACTTTCATCTGGGAGACAGTCTGTCAACTGCATTTTCTAGACAGTGAACATCTTTGTCACCATACTGCCTTCTTCTTTTTTAGTATTCCGATCCCTTGAGGTTCATTGCTGTTGATATCACCCACCTCCATTCATCTCTCTGGTTAGCTTATTCTTTCCAGCTGGTAACACCAAGTGTTTGCAGGTCTGTCTGGATATTATCTCTCCATCATCTTCTTGGTCTCCCTCGTGGTCTACGACCATTAATCTCCTTGGTGTGTACAGTTTTTACTTCTCTGTCATGTGACATTCTTCCAATATGCCCCAACCATTTCAGTCTATTAGCTCTCATGATGCCAGTGATCAGTGGTGATTTAAACAGATTATGAATTTCGTTGTTGCTTCTCACTCTCCATTCACTGCTGTTTGCATCTTTGATGGGTCCAAAGATTCGTTGTAAGACTGTTTTTGAAATCTGTAATAAGGCTTCATCTATTTTAGTTGTGCTGCAAGTTTCAGAGCTATATAAAACAACTGGTCTTATCAATGTTTTATTTATTTTGATCTTGGTTTTGCGAGACATTACTCATATTACTCACGACCTTCAAAAATCCTTATTCAGATATACATTTATATTATTGTGATTTGATATAGCTCTAATAATGATGGACTGTTTTAAACTTAAACAACTTGGTTTCTGTTTTTCTTCAGAATACATAATGCCAGACTGATGTATCTGTATGAAGAAAGGACATGTCAGTTATGAACATTACGTCAAGACGAATTGGTGTTCAAAATATACATTGCAATTAAAGATGGATGTTCCTAATGAGGGTGATGATGACTTATATCAAGTACCCAAGTCAAGTCGTGAGGTTAACTTGCCAGCTGTCATTCATTCAGCTGTGCCTGAGGAAACTCCTCCAGCTCTCATGCCAAAAAGACTCAGTGGTTTCCAAAGAACTTCATCTCTTCTTGACAGACAATTTCCAAACTCACCTAAGCCGCCCCCAAGGAATCTCAGAAGTAACTGTGTTAACTCCAAAGAACCCAGGTTGATAGGAAATAAAATTGACCACAAAACAGACCATGGAATTACTTCCACAAAGAGCCTTGACTTGTCAGAACCTCATCAGTTTAATATTAATACTAATGAAGAATCTATTTCAAAACAAACAGTAAAGAAAATTGGGGCCATTGATTTAACAACAAAACCACTCCCTGCAATCCCAAATGTATCTCAAGTAAAGCCCAGGAACATTTCAGAAAATAATGTATCAACATCAGTTAACAAGAATAAGGATGTGCCCGCATCGCAAACGTCCAGTCCAATTCCTGAGGCTCGGCCTGTACCAAAGCCGAGACCAAGAACTAGGCTGCCTTCAGTATCATCTCAAGATCAGACTGTTAATTCACCTCCCCAACTGACGGGTGTTATTTCAAGTACAGCCAATGATGATTCAAAACAACAGACATCAGTAATCAGTAACCACAAAGTGGGTGAACCATCTTCAGAAACATCGGCTGCAGATGCGGAGAAACTCACAAGTTTTAATTATTCATTGCCATTAGATGCTGACAGTATCGAACTAATGTTGAATGACGAAGTTGACAAAAAATATGGATTGAATTCAGCAGAAAACAAACATCCTGAACCAAACTCTAACAGTCACCACTTGAGCATCAATACAGATGATAATGCTGAGTATGTCAACCCTGATGAAGTTAAAAAGGAAATTGTGATATTACAAAATAATGAAAAGACCGACAGTAAACTCCCAGTGCCTCATTCTGCAGCACAAACATCATCTTATTTACATATGAAAGATAAAACACAGCCTGGGCAGGTTTCGTCTCCACAGCTTTCGCAAAGAAGACCTTCATCACCATTATTGCTTACCAAAATCGACATTGGTTCTGCTTTGTTAGAGGGAAGTTCTTCTGATGACATTCTAGACCACAAGGAGAATTCTGACGAAAAAATGAATCTAAGCTCAAGCCTTAATATTACAACACCACAACCTTTTAATGACATAAAGCCGTTTAAATCATTGAGATCGACATCTGTTTTGCCTGGGGATTCACCCATCAAAGGCACATGTCACGAAACTAAAAATCAAGTTTTGGATTTTTCTGACTTTGATCCATTATGGAGTGGGAAATCAAATCTTGTTCAGACTTCAAACAAAAAAGAAATGGAGAAAACAAATTGTTTGAATGAAGAGAAAACAGCCCTTGATTTTACTGCAGATTTCAATTTTGTGACTGTTTATCAGCCCTCTGATTTAGCCAGCTCTACATATGCTACAGCTGATGATGTATATTCTGAAGATAACTATTCTCAGATCGAAAGAGAGCCCAACAACAAAGCAACTGCTGGACCCCGAAGACCACTGCCCAGTAGAAAGTCTTTCCACCACGAAGCACCTATAGCACCTCCTCCTCCATTACCACGGCAGCAAAATCGTATTCCAGAACCAAGACCGCCGCCTGTACCACCACGACCAGACAATGCCCTGGTTTTACAGCCTCCTCCGAGCACACAGACTACGCTCTCTCCCCCTAATTTACCTCCTCTTCCGACCACACAGAAAACGCCGTCTCCTCCTAACACACTACCACAATCTGCATCTGTGACCTCAGATATATTTCATGATCTGCCAACTCCTGTTTTTATGCAACCACAGAACGCAGATCCATTTCAGGATTCCAGATTTGATTATGAGTGCCTTAAATTTAATAAAACTAAGGTGCCAACTCCACCGTCAAGAAGCCCTATTCCTAAAACGTCTACATTAAACATTGAAAGATCCTCCAGTGAATCAAATGCTACAGCTACACCTGTAGACCCAAGGCTGGATCCTGGGCGCATTAGTCGATTCGTTATCCCCCCACCAGGCTGTCCACTTAATGATAGTCTGATTCCTGATGACTATGATCTTGCAAAAGGTAAGTGTTTGTGTGCCCT